CTGCTCTCCCCTCCCCCGCAGGATGAAGATGAGACGCTACAAGCTCTTCCTCATGTTCTGTATGGCCGGCCTGTGCCTCATCTCCTTCCTGCACTTCTTTAAGACCCTGTCCTACGTCACCTTCCCCAGAGAACTGGCCTCCCTCAGCCCGAACCTCCTGTCCAGCTTCTTCTGGAACAATGCCCCCGTCACGCCCCAGGCCAGCCCAGAGCCGGGGAGCCCCGACCTGCTGCGTACCCCACTCTATTCCCACTCGCCCCTGCTCCAGCCGCTGTCCCCCAGCAAGGCCGCCGAGGAACTCCACCGCCTGGACTTCGTGCTCCCCGAGGACACCACCGAGTATTTCGTCCGCACCAAAGCCGGGGGTGTCTGCTTCAAACCGGGCACCAAGGTGCTGGAGAAGCCCCCGTCGGGGCGGCCAGAGGAGAAGACGGAGGGGGGCGACGGCTCGTCTGCCCGGGGCCCAGCCCGGCACCTGCTGAGCGCCAGGGAGCGCACGGGGGGCCGGGGCACGCGGCGCAAGTGGGTGGAGTGCGTGTGCCTGCCGGGCTGGCACGGGCCCAGCTGCGGGGTGCCCACCGTGGTGCAGTACTCCAACCTGCCCACCAAGGAGCGCCTGGTGCCCAGGGAGGTGCCGCGGCGCGTCATCAACGCCATCAACGTCAACCACGAGTTCGACCTGCTGGACGTGCGCTTCCACGAGCTGGGCGACGTGGTGGATGCCTTCGTGGTGTGCGAGTCCAACTTCACGGCCTACGGGGAGCCCCGGCCGCTCAAGTTCCGCGAGATGCTGACCAACGGCACGTTCGAGTACATCCGGCACAAGGTGCTCTACGTCTTCCTGGACCACTTCCCGCCGGGCGGGCGGCAGGACGGCTGGATCGCCGACGACTACCTGCGCACCTTCCTCACCCAGGACGGCCTGGCGCGGCTGCGCAACCTGCGGCCCGACGACGTGTTCATCATCGACGACGCGGACGAGATCCCCGCGCGCGACGGCGTGCTCTTCCTCAAGCTCTACGACGGCTGGACCGAGCCCTTCGCCTTCCACATGCGCAAGTCCCTCTACGGCTTCTTCTGGAAGCAGCCGGGCACCCTGGAGGTGGTGTCGGGCTGCACGGTGGACATGCTGCGCTCGGTGTACGGGCTGGACGGCATCCGCCTGCGCCGCCGCCAGTACTACACGATGCCCGCCTTCCGGCAGTACGAGAACCGCACGGGGCACATCCTGGTGCAGTGGTCGCTGGGCAGCCCCCTGCACTTCGCCGGCTGGCACTGCTCCTGGTGCTTCACCCCCGAGGGCATCTACTTCAAGCTCGTGTCGGCCCAGAACGGGGACTTCCCGCGCTGGGGGGACTACGAGGACAAGCGGGACCTCAATTACATCCGGAGCCTGATCCGCACGGGGGGCTGGTTCGACGGCACGCAGCAGGAGTACCCGCCGGCCGACCCCAGCGAGCACATGTACGCCCCGAAGTACCTGCTGCAGAACTACCACCGGTTCCGCTACCTGCTGGACAACCCCTACCAGGGGCCCAGGAGCACGGCCGCAGGGGGGCCGCGGAGCAGGGGCTCCGAGGGAAGGCCCCCCGCCAGGGCCAAGTCGGACGCGGTGGAAGGCTAAGGTGGCACGGTGTTCAGGGCCAGTGGCAGGGCAGGGGTGCGACTGCCCTCCTGTCATCTTCCTGCCTCCTGACCTCGGGGGTCTTGAGAGAGGGGACCGGAAGTGGATGCTGGGAGACTCTTCCCTGTCCAAGCCCTGGTGGCTCAGGGGTCAGGCCTGTGACCTCAAAAACCGTCACTCCTCATGGTGAGCGGGGACCCTGACCCTCCCGCCCTCCAAGCGAGCTGTGCCAGGAGGTGCCGCGGAGGGTGCAGGATGGTAACTGGGTGGCCGGGGAGGGTGGGAAGGAGCCGCAGGAGCTCCTGGTGGCCCGCGGGAGCTGCCGTGTGAAAGGCATGCCGGGAGGTCCCCAGCTCTGTAAATAGTTGCATTTGGGTCCAGGCGGAAGCGGGGACGCCAGGAAAGGAGGGTGTGGAGAACAGCATCCAGCAGAGAGGTGGCCCAGGGTCCTCGGAAGTGCTGGGCCAGGAGCCGGGGACCTCCAGCCGCCTCCCCTCAGGGCCCCAGAGGCTCCTGAGCTGACAGAGGCGGGGGCCTGGCGAAGCCGGGGGAGGCCTCCTTTCAGTTCTGAACCTGGCGTTGATGTCCCTTCTAACTTACTATCTTTCAGTCTAGTAGGCTCCACTTGGTCTCGCAAGGCCAGGAGTCCAATACTCAGGGTGGGATGGGACATCAGCCAGCCGAGTGGTCAGACATAGGGGTGCCCCACACCCCTTCCTGCCGGAACCCCCAGCCCCAGCTCTCCACTGTCTCGGGTGGAGTTACCCTGTACCCCTTCCTGGTGTTGGCTAGGGGCCAGAACAGAGCCCCGAGGCTGCCCTGGGCCCAGAGGGCCATTAAGACCAGTTCTGTGCCATCTCCTGCCTCTCAGTGTGCCCCGTGGGGCAGGAGATGTATTCATTAAAGTAGGTTCTAAGCTGCTGTAAAGGAAAGACCCCGAAATACAGTGGTTTCAGCAAGACAGAAGCTTGTGTCTAATGTAACTGTCTGGAGGGAGATGGTCTGGATCCAGTAGGGCGGCTCTGCTCCCTCAGACACACCTTCCAGCTCTGGACAGAGTGGTTGCTCCAGTTCCACCACCACGTGCATCCGAGCCCGGGGGGAGCAGAGGGAAGCACGGAAACACACACCCTTTCCTGTCAACGGCGTGAGCCAGAGATGGCAAAGCTGCTGCTGACCGCAGCATGCTGGTCAGGACTTAGTCACATGACCGCAGTAGCTGCAAGGGAAGCTGGGCCTCCATGTGCCCAGCCTCAGCCTAGTTCTCTTCTTACAGGAAGGTGGGGAGGGTGGATACAGGGACCAGGAGCATCTCTGGCACAGGGGGAGGGAAAGAGAGGGTAGAAATGACCCTTGGAGTCATAAGATCCTCCTCTCACATTGGAGCCCTGGAACAACTGCTCCTGCCCCCCTCACTGCCAGCGCAGGGCCGGGGTGCAGTGAGAGCCTGCCGTCATGGGGAGGAGGGGAGACCCCTCTCCAAGGCCCCGTTGGATGCTCACCAGGGATGCCAGGAGGCAGAGGCTGCCTGTGGGACGGTACATGTTGGTGCGCGTGTGTGTATTTATGGGCATGGGTGCATGCTGTGTGTACTTGTGTGTCTGTGTCGGTGTGTCCCTGTACATAGATGCTTGTGTGTGGATGTGGGAGCAGGGCCCAGGCGCTTCCCGGGATCTGGAGCCTGTGGCCATACCTCCTGCAGCTCCCCAAAATGACTGAGGCAGAAAGCCCGTGGGGAACCTGGAAAACAAGGCTGAAGGGGATGCAGGGTCCGTCTGTCTGTCTGTCTTTCAGTCCAAGAGATGAGAATCCTCCTGACCTGAGGGCTGTGCAGCTGAGCGCCCACTACCTCCAGCCGCTCTTGGCCCCAACCACATCTTTCCCCTCAGTCCCCTCTGGCCTCCAGCAGGGGCTTTGGCTGGGTGTCTCCTGATGGGCCAGGGAGGAGGGGGACCCTTTGCCACAGCTCTGTCTGGGGAAGTGCCCGGTGTGGGTGTGGTCTGGGGGCAGCCTCTGGTGGGCAGGAATGAAGAAGGCTGAGGGGGCTCTATTTCCTCCCTCCTCCCGCGGAGTTACAGCAGCCCCCTCTCTGATCCTGCGTGGGGCTGAGAGGTGGCTCAAGAAGTCAGCAGCCACTGCTCACCCCTGGACAGGCAGTCTCAGGGCTCCTGAGTCATGCCCGAGCCCCAGCCCAGAAACCTCCCTCCTCGCCAGCTTCCTCACCCCACGGCCCTGGCTCCCTCCTGCTACTGCGGATGCCCCTTCCCAGGCCGGCCTCCGCTCACCAGCTCAGGGCAGGGGGAGAAGACATAGCTCAGACCAGCCAAGCCCTGCCTTTCCGTAGACCCTGGCAAGTGGAGGCCTGGCCATTGGGTGGAGATGGCAGCTGTCAGAGGGGTGGGGGCCAGAGCATGGGGTTGAAGAGTTTTGCATATAATCACATCATACACTGGGAATTTGGGGGGTCAGGGGAGCCCTGGGCCACTCCCCCAATGTGAAGGGAAACCGAACTGTGAATGTGAACACTGGTGCACCACTGGCCCTGTCAGCATGTCCAGACAGCCTTCCCTGGAAACACCTGCCCTATGACTCCAGGAGGCCCAGCTCATGTCCGTTCCCAAGGACAGGTGTGGGGAGCTTTGGGGACACAGGTGACAATTGGCATGGGGAGACAGGACTTGCCCAAGCAGGTAGCGGGGCCCTAGGAAAGGTATAATTTAAGGACACCATTATTTTTTTTGTAAGGGAAAATCAATATGTACATTCTGAAATCATTTTCTCTGTAAATGGTTGGATTTCATTTCACCCTTAAAGGGATGTTGAAGATAATATTAATAATAAAAACACCTACAAAGCCTGCGGAGTGTGCACGTGTGGCTGGTTCGGGGGGCGCGCTGGGGCAAGGAGGGCTGCAGCTGTGGGGTGAGGGCCTCCCCAGGACCGGGTGCGGTTACCTCCACCAGCACCAGGGGGCAGCCTTCCCTCCCATCGATGGAGATAAACAGAAAGGGGAGGCTCCGGGCTGAAGGAAGGAGAAGTGGGCCTGGGACTTCTGGGGGGTCGGGATGAAGACTGGGGTGCCTCCACCGAGAGGGCAGTGGTCCTCCCACAGCTGTGCTCCTGGGGCATCGAGACCAATGCGTCCACCTCCGTAGTTTCCTCCCTGTGCCTGTGGGTCCTAAGGATGTTGTGGCCTCTTCCCACTAGACACCGCCCCCTGATGGCGGGACAGGGCTGGACCTGTCATCCACCCTCAGGCAGGAGAAGACGGCAGCCAGGACCAGCCATCTCTCCTGTGGAGCAGACGGGACCGGAGCGGTGGTGGCGCCCGGAGCCTGGGGTGTGCGGGCTTCCTCTGGGGCCTGTGGACACGGGCACTGTCCTGGGGGAGGGCCCCTGGGCGTTTTCTAAGGAGAGTCTCAGAGATGGTGGGCAAGCCCTTTGCATGGGGTTGGTGATGGGAGGGACATCCCTGAGATTTTAGGAGACAGGGAATTGCCCAATTCGGGCCCAGTTCACCGTGACCACGTCCTGGGGCACAGGCTCCGGAGGGGGGTGCTCGATTTTACAAAGCCCTTAAAGGTCCCCTTGACGGCTAGCGTTTAAAGCGATCCGGTTAGGACGCTTAGGAAGCAGTTTTGTTATTGCAAACCGAGTTCATCTCTCTGGAAGCCCCGTGCCCGTGCAGTTAGGCACGTGACCCTGCTCTGTGACAATCAGGCCTTTTGTCCGGCCACCCGCTGGTCCCACCCACCATATCTGTGCCACCCCTTTTGCCACTGTTTGTCTTTCAATTCAATCCTACACTCAATTACCGACTGTTGGACAGCAGGCCCGGAGGAAGATGTAGAAATGGGCATGACATTTTCTGCCCTCCAGGAGCTCAAAGCTGACTGGGAGTAGCCGGGGTTCCCGACCTCAATGCTGCTGACCTTGTGGCCGGGTCATTCTTCATGTAGGGCTGTCCGTTAGAGGGTGGTTAACAGCATCCCCGCCCCTACCCACTGGACACCAGTAGCAGCCAATCCCCCAAGTGTGGCACCAACCATGTCTCCAGACGTTACTAAATAATTGTCCCTTGGGGTGCAGCGTCACCCAGGCTGAGAACCACAGGAGGAGGAGTGCCCAGCTGTTGAGCATCTACTGTAGATATGCCAGGCACTTTGTACAATGACCTCATCTAATCCTGCGGGATAGACGATCGTGGTCATTGGAGGTCAGCTTTCCTCTTGTGGAATTTAATGGTATTGGGGGCGTCCCCCTGCTCTCCAGCCTGGGCGATGGGAGGTGGTGAGGCTAGGATTTAGGGAGGTTAAGGGTAGAATTGCTCCAAGGCACACAGCTCCCAGGCAGGATTTAGGACCAGGGTCCCCACCGCCCTTCTGACGGTGCTGCACTGCCCCCTAGTGGCAGGGCGAGGCACGTCGCTGCAGCGGCCACGCTTTCCTGTTGTTTTCCTTCCTCTTCTCACTGGAGGCCACACTGGGTTCGAGGCAGCTTTGCAGATGCTGCTGCAAAACGGACAGGCAAATGTGTAAAAGTTAGAATCATGGGAAAGTATAATTACAAAACACGCAAGCCTGGGAAGCAACAGAAAACGCAAAGGCAACGCCAGGGGCACGTCAAAGCGTTGAAGGTGCAGAGGAGAGGGGCACGTCCTCTTCTCGCTCTTACAGACGAGGGAGCGAAGGTTCCAGAACTTTCACAGGAAGTGGTGGCGCTTTGGGATGAACGCTGACAGCAGGCACCTCCGGGGCATCGGTCTTGTCTACAGCGTGTTCCCCACTTTTATGTCCCCAGCACTCTGCCCATGGAGTGCTCCCCGGATCCTGCTGCATTGTGCTGACAGGATGTGCACACAATTCCCCTTCCCTGGGCGGCCCAGCCCCGGGCCTCTAACTTGTGTTGTTAGTGGTTTTATTAGATGTTGACCCTAAAGACCCTGCACCCTGGCCGACCAGGGCGGCTCCCTCCTCCGCCGGGTTCACTCACCCTCCACCTCCCCGAGGACGGAGGCCTGCCGGCTGCGGAGCTGTGTTTGGAGAGGGCTCCTCCCGTCCCCAGCCTGCGTGTGGCCCGTGGATTGCCAAGAGCCCCAGCGAAGGGAAGGCTGTTTGGCCAGCAACCCAGCAGGAGGGCACCCGGGGGTCAAGTTCTAAGACTCCAAGGACGAAGAACAGGTACAGACATCAGAGCTCGTCGTGTAAACCACACGTAGGGCCCCCCAGCCCCGCGCGTCCTCTGGGAACACATCCCGTCTCAGTTCCTGGGGTCGCCACGCAGCCC